GAGGGCTGGGCATCCCTGCACGGCTCTCCCTGTGGTGACCTTCATGGGCAGAGATAAGACGCCCACGTCCAGGCCAGGGGACATCCACTCCTGTGAGGAGGCCAGGATGAGTACACTTCCCCCTCCTGTAAGCCCGGCCACGGCCTCTTCTCAGAGAACAGGAAGTGGGGAGAGGCAGCTTCAAGAAAAAGCCAGGCCGGAAACCCCTGCTGCCGCGAGGGCAGGCCCTCCGCCATGCCCCCTGGAAGGGCACTCCACCTGCACTCTGTGTCTCACCGCGGGCAGGGCCTCAGGGGCAGGAAATGAGTGAGGCGGGGCCCTCCTCATCCTGCCCCCTCGCAGACAGGAGCCCTCAGACAGCCCCGAGGCCCCTGGAGGCAGGTCGGGCTTGTCTGGGTTTTCCGTGGGTTGTAGGAATTACTGATCATTAGTGGCGTGAGAAAAACCGCCTGGCTTTGAAGTTAGAGACCTAGATTTGAATCTTGACTCATCACCTTGACCATCTCCCTGCTGGTGAGATGAGATAAAGGGAGCGGAGGAGCTACCTGTGCTCCGCTCTGCGGGCCTGTCGCCCGGGGCTGTTAGTTGCCTAGCAACAAGGCCAACCCACTCACTGCAGGAGTGGGAGCCTGGCCGCCTAGCCTCCTCCTGACCTGGCTCACCTACCTCTTCCCCCCTGGCTGACATCGCAGGACCGTGAAGAGGAAACCCGGCAGCATGAAGCGCCTCTCCCCGGCGCCCCAGCTGGGCCCCTCGGACACACACACCTACTACAGCGAGTCCGTGGTCAGGGAGTCCTACTACGGCAGCCCCCGGGCCGCCTCCCTGGCCCGGAGCTCCATCCTCGATGACCAGCTGCACAGTGACACCTACTGGAGTGAGTGGAACCCTTCCTCTGGAAACAAGGTCCCAAGTGCAGCTCCCTCACCCGGGGCTCCTGACCCCGCGGGGTCAGCGGGGGGCTCCCAGGCGTCAGCTCCCAGGTCCCTGCGGATGATGGAGGAGCCACGAGGCAGCTCCGAGCCCAGGAGACAGGGGCTGGGCCCAGCTCACCCTCCCGGGAGGGGCCAAGGACAGAGTCCACCAGGGTCCCCCCCACCCCCCCGGGGCTCCCCGAGTACCCTCCTCGGCATCTCTGTCCAGGAAAACCCCGCCTTCTTCCCTCCGCAGGTGAGGACCTGCCGGTGAGGAGGAGGAGAGGCACCGGGGACACCGAGAGCAGCAAAATCAACGGGCTGGTGCGGGCCAAGCTCTCCGAGGACTTCCCGGGGTCCTCCTCCGGCTACTCCTCTGAGGACGACTTCGTAGGTAGGCGACACTCAGCCGGGTTCCAGGACCGCCGCCCGGCTCCCTGACAGCTCAAGGGAGCCTGGTGTCGGGCAGGCGCCCCCGCAGACCCTCTGGCGTCCCTCCTGTGCCTGTAGCGCCCTGAACCCCAGCCTGGGGTGTCCCCCAACCCAATGGGCTGTCCCTGCCCCACTAGGCCTAGAGTCAAGGTCAACTCCATTGTCTGCTCACTTCCAGCAAGCGTTTCCCACGGCTGCACGCGAGGAGGTGCCTGACCCCTGGGTCTGGTCTGAACAGTGGTTGAGGGGAGGGGTGCAGGCAGGGAGCACATAGGAAGACGCTTACTGGCCGACTGGGTGCCAGCCTGTGTGGCACGGGGATGCGGAGAATGGTCAGGGTCCCAGTGCACCGGCTGAAGGAAAAGACAGTGGCAGGCAGTGCCGTCCCAGGCTCTCCTGAGAGGACAGACAGCCCTCCCTCCCCACAGGGTACTCACAGGCGGCCCAGCAGGGCTCCGGCTCACGGCTGAGGGGCACGGTCTCGCGGGCAGGCTCTTTCTTCTGGACGGTGGTCACCTTCCCAGGTGGGTGCTGGCTGTTCCGTGCACGATTGTCTCCATTCCCTACAGCAGCCCCTTCTCACCCATCTCTCCTGGGTGTCCAGCCCACACAGAGGGGCTGTAGGACCACCGGGGAAGCTCATTCTAGAATAATCACAGGGGCCAAGAGCCATGGGAACAACCGTGCAGTTGGAAGGGCAGGAGCGGCTGTGGCGCAGGGCGGAGGGCAGAGGGCGCTGGTGGAGTGGGTGGGGGATGGGGGGGTCAGAGGGACTGGTGGCCAGCGGCCAGGACAGAGGTGCCTGGCGGGGGTGTGGCGAGGCAGGGACCGCAGGGGGAGAGGGAGGGGTGCTCTGCAGCCACGACTGCAGGCCCTGCCCCTCGGGGTGGCACTTAGGCCTGATGGCCCCTCTTCCAGGCCGGCTCTTCGGACTCCTCTACTGGTGGGTCGGCACCACCTGGTACCGCCTGACCACGGCTGCCTCCCTCCTCGATGTGTTCGTTCTAACCAGGTGAGCAGACTCCTCCTGGACAGAGTCAGAAAGCCCCAGGCTGTCTCAGGCCAGCCCGGGCCTCCTGCTGGCGGGGCCTTGGCTCTAGCCCCGGCCAGTGCGACCTGGACCCCAGGGTCCGCCTCAGCCTCAGGAGCCGCCTGAGGCTGTGGGTTTGCGCTGGGATTTGGGAACCGCCCATGAGCAGAGGAAGAGGATCGAGGCCGGAAGTCAGGGTCCCTCTGGCCGTATCCTGGTTGGAGGGGGGCCAGCTGTGCTGAGAAGAGGGCGAGGATGGATTCGTGGCACCGAGAAAAGCGTTCCCCTTTTTCTAAAAAGAAAACGTTGTTTAAGGAGTTCCATGCTGTTTCCTATGTTTGCTTGCATAGGGGGCCTCTGTACATGAAACTTTTAGTTTTTTTAAAGACCCACTGCTTATTTTTAATAAGATCAGTGAGAGCCACAGGGTCCTCACTGTCCCCATTACTTGAGCACTCGGAAACAATCTCGGAGACTCCCGAGGGCCGAGAGGCCCCGAGCCTCTGACGTGTCCACCTCCCCCGCCCGCCCCACCCGCCCCGGTCCAGGCGCTTCTCGTCCCTGAGGACTTTCCTGTGGTTCCTCCTGCTGCTGCTGCTCCTGACAGGCCTGACCTACGGTGAGCTGACCCGCGCCCGGGGGACGGTAGGACAGGAGCTGCCGCAATGGGGCTGCGGAGCCAGCGGCGCAGGGCACTGTGGGCGGAGGCAGTGCTGGCAGAGCTGAAAACTAGAGGGATGGGATCACCGGCCAGAAAGGGAAGGAGGCAGGACGAGTGGGTCGGACCGAGCCTGGGCACCTGCGCCCGGGGCCCTAGGCCACGCCTGTCTGGCTCTCCTGGGTCCTCCCTGAGCCTGGGCACCTGTGTAGGCGGAAGCCCTTAGCATGTGCGCCTTCGTAACCGGCCAGGTAACCAGCCTCTCACCTGTGTCCAGGTGCCTGGAATTTCTATCCCTACGGCCTGCACACGGTCCACCCCACCTTGGTTTCCTGGTGGGCAGCGAAGGGCAGCAGCCAGCAGCATGAGGTGTGGGAGCCCAGAGATGCCCCACATTCCCAGGTGAGTGTCTGAGCGCAGGCGCCCGCCACCCCTGGTTTCCCTGCACGTGGACTGGCCCACCTGTATCTGGCACACAGCCGAGAGAGGTGCTGCCCTCGCTGGGGTGCCCTCATCCCCGGGGCACCCCTTTCTCCACCATTCGGAGTGGACGTACTGGGAGGCAGTTGGCTCAGATATGACTCAGAACTGCCCCACGGTCCCCACCGTCTTCACCGTCCTCAGCACAGGAAACAGGAGGACAGGAATCAGACCAGTCGTCTTATCGCTGTGTCCTTCCCACAGTCTCACAGGTACAGGGTGGGCACAAGCAGGTTTACAGTTGTTCGTATGAAAATAATACAATCCTTAATAAATAATACAAAAATAAACTGTGTTTCGTGTACTCACCACTGTAAACCTACTTTTGCCCCATCTTGTATTTACTGAGCACTTCTATGAATAAGGTGGTATCTTGGTCAGTTGTCTGTTAGCACAGATAAACTCCCCTAAAATTCGTGCCCTCGAGGACAAGCGTTGGACTAGCTACGAGTCTGTGGGTGCCCTGGCTGGCCCTTCTGGTCCGACAGGCTGGCCTTGGCTGGGCTCCACATGGCTGGTGGGTCGGCGGGCGCCTGGGCTCCCCGCGCTTTTGTTGTCCGGCAGGCTAGGCCGGTTGTGCTCACAGCAGCCGTGCAGGTTCCCAAAGAGCAGAATCAGGCCGGGCCCTTCGAGGCCTTGGCTGGAACTACATCCTCCACATCCTGTTGGCCTCAGCAAACCCAGGGCCGGTCTAGATTCAAGCAGGAGACAGGCCCCCCTTCTCCATGGGGGCACCTGCCCGGCCACGCCCCATGGGTGCACCTGCGGCCCCGAGAGGACAGGGGCCACTCCTGCAACCTGCCAGGGGCAGAGGAGACAGGCTCAGGCTGCACCCTCAAAGAGCCTGCAGTCCGTGTGCATGTGCGTGCGTGTATGTGTGTGCATGTGCACGTGTGTGTCTGTGCATGTGTGTGTGTGCGTGTGTGTGTCTGTGTGAAGTGCACAAATAACCAGCCGGTGTATGTGCAGGTCCTGAGGGCCAGAATGAAAAATTAAAACTATTGCAGTTATTTAACTTTGGTTGTATCTTGCTGAATTTAATTTGATGACATTCTGGCATTTATAAAACTTCCTTTTTTAATCATTAGTAAAGACATTAGATACGATTCAATTTCAGGACCACCTTTTTTTATAAAAGAAAAGAAAAGAAAAAGTTACATTTGCATAAAGACATTAATAAACATAGTTGCCTTGTTTGGGAGGGGGTGGTGCGGGCACCGGGTGGAGGGGCAGAGGTTACGAGCGTGACTTTTTACTGTTTGTTTGCTTTTTGAGTCATGCCAAACAAGTGGAATTTTTGAAAATCAGACTTGACCTCTGTACCCAGTGGCCTTGCCGTTTGGTAGTTGACAGGCTGTGTGTTATGCTTTCTCTTGGCAAAGATTTTCATGGTGAAGCCAACAAGGTTCTCAGAATTCATGGCACGCTATCAGATGCCACCCTCAGGTCCACATGACTTGTGTGCTGTCTTCTCTGTGGGCGTCCAGTTCAAGAGGAAAAAGAAAGGCCTTTGAGATTAGTGGTCTTTTAGCCGTAGTTACCGACGGAAGAAGTGGGAGCAATGGACAGTCAGCTCAGCCTCTTCGCCCCTCGCTCTGGCACACGTGCACCGACAGGGAAGGGGGTGGGCTCACCCAGCTCCCTGTGGCCATCCATTATGACCCTCCTCTGGGAGGGCCCTGTCCCCGTCTCCTGTCCCACGTGCACCCCTCCTTGGGGATCAGACCCCTCAGCCGCCGTGTGTCCCGTACCCTGTGCTGCGCTGTCACCACACCCACCGAACCCATTTAGCTGCTGCCTCCTGTGGGGCAGAGATCGCCTGAGGGCCTCGGGCCGGCAGTGTTGACAGGGTCTGAGGCTCTTCCTGGTCCAGGAAGCACTGTGGCCGCAGGCCTCTCCCCTCTGTGCTTGTCCCCCTCCGCCTGCAGGCTGAGCAGCGCATTCTGTCCCGGGTGCATTCCCTGGAGCGGCGCCTGGAAGCCCTTGCCGCCGAGTTTTCCTCCGCGTGGCAGAAGGAGGCCGTGCGCCTGGAGCGCCTGGAGCTGCGGCAGGGGTCC